AATGATGAGGGCAATGAATGTACAAATGTGCTTTACACAATTGATGTATGTATGGATTGTGATAAGAGTTGTATGAGGCCCTAATAAAATGATTAAAAAAAAAAAGAAATATATTCGGGGGAAAAAAAGGAAAAGTTAAGTCTCAGTCACAACGTTCCCTCACTGACCCGTAGCACTGCGGGGGAGAGCACTGGAGACACTGTGTGGAAAGTGTGCCTGGTCTGCCCCAGGCACAGTCGGGTGAAATGGGAAGGGAGTGTAACAGGGCAGCAAGGGGAGCAAAGTAACCAAGTCCCTGAGGAACCCTGAAAACAGACTTCTGACTCAGGGGACAGGGTTGGCAACTCATCAGACTTGATCGGAAAACATCCATAAGGATCACCAGACAATCTATTGGGGAGTGGGGGGCTGGTTTTGTTTGTTGTTTGTTTGTTTCTGTTGCCCTATGTCTATCTATATAAGATAGGCAGGATGAACAATCCTGGGGGGGGGACATGGGAGAAGAGGGGGCAGGGAGCCAACTAACTCAAGAATAAGGGAACAGCAAGAGATCTAAAATGGATGGCGAGGAGGGCGTATAATGCCTGGTGGGGTTTGATCAAGTACAATGTATCTGAGAAGAATTACTGAGAGCCGAATGGAGGGTGAGCATGATAGTGTGACAGGAGGAAGGTGAAAGGAAATAGAGGAAATAAGTAGGAGGCAAAGCTATTTATAGAGGTATAGCTATGGGCATGTATATATGTAAATATTAATTTATAATGAAAGGAATAGAGGCCATTGTACATAGAAGCCTATATACTCAAGTATAAGCTGACCTGATTATCAGCCAAAGCACCGAATTTTACCTCAAAAACTGCATTAAAAATGAGCTGAAAAACTCGGCTTATACAAAAGTATAGATGGTACTTATATGTAAGTATTAAATAGCAGATGGATTTTGGGCCTCTACTCAAGACCTTGCTTAACACAAGAGCACTGTGTTCTGGTAACCTGGCATTCTTTGACACTCACTTCTCCAACACAATTGCTGAAGACAAAATGGGTGCATAAGTAAATGCAATGAAGAAAGTGGATGATGCCTGGCTATCAAAAGCTATAGTGTCTGGGGTCTTAAAGGCTTGAAGTTAAACAAGCAGCCATCTAGCAGGGAAGCAAATAAGCCCACATGGAAGAACACACCAGCCTGTGGGACCATTAGGTGTCGACGGGATCAGATAGCAGATATGAAAAGAGCCAAAACAAACAATTACATCGATGTGAAAGAGGGAGCTTGGGGTGGAGACCCATCTGTAGACAACTGGACATGCCCCATGGAGGGGTTACAAGGAAGGGATGATCCAACCAGGTGCAGTGTAGCACCGATGAAACACACCTCATTCCTCTAGTTCCTGAATGCTTTCTCCCCCTACTACCATGACTCAGGTCTATCTTGCAAATCCAGCTAGACCGGAGTACACACATTGGTACAGATAAGAGCTCTCGACATATGGAATTCAGGACAGATAAAACCCTCAGGAACAGTAGTGGGAGTAGCAATATCATGAGGGTAGGGAGATGTGTGTGTGTGTGTGGGGGGACAACCCATCACAAGGTTGGATAAAAAGCCCACCCCCAAGGGGGCAAAGAACAGAGGTGGGTGGAGGGAGACAATGGACAGTGTAAGACACGAAATAGCAATAATATATAATTGATCAAGGATTCACGAGGATGGGAGGGTAGGAAAAAAAGAAGAGCTGATCCCAAGGGCTCAAGTAGAAAGAAATGTTTTGGAAATGTTGATGGCAACATATGTACAAGTGTGCTTAATACTACTGAATGATGGATTGTGGTTTAACATACGCACATACACAAATAAACTAAAAATTGCTTCACGGAAAACAAAGAAACCCTCCACATTCCTTACCCCTCAGATATAAATATTGATCTGAGTGGCTAAAAAGGGAGGGAAAGTAAAACTAAAGTTGACATACAAGTTCCTTTCGAACATTAAAAAAAAAAATCTGATTGAAAAGATGCAAAAACCCGAAGCAAACCTCAGGCCACAATTTAGAAGCAACCACATAGATATATTATATCACAAATTTAATGCTTTATTTCAAATCCCCCAAAAGTAAACCACTGCTACTGGAAACCAAACTGTATATTTTGAAACCATTAAACCAGCAACTTCCATTGCCCTGTCAGTATTTATACTGATAACACAAGAATCTTTTTAGCCACTTCAACAAACAAGATATTCTACATCTTGGAGAAAAAGGCTTTTACATTTAGAGTACAATATTCTTTAAAAATAAAAGGTTTCACAAAGTACAATAAATTCAATCAGAAATTTTGGAGGAAATAGAAATTAAGTCGATCAATTAAGCTTCTTTTGATTCAATCCCTGTTTTAAGCAGAGAGTTTGTCTGTTACATTTTGTAGCTAATATTACAATGCCTTATCTTAGAAAAATACTCAAAAATGCTTAAGTAGATGGAAAGATATTTCTTTCTTTCAAAAATAAAGAACTGTGGGTGTTATCAGTGGGAATAGATCCCAATAATATACATTCTTACTACAAACTTAAATGACCAGAAGTGGAAAGAAAAGGATGTGTATTGGGGCATCAGAAAGGGTATTAGTATGAAAATGAAATTTTGAGACATCAGTTTGCTACTCAAATTGACACCGAATCAGCAAAGTGGAGCATTTAAATTCATTTTCAAGACCACTTAGTAAATCCAGATCCGGTTAGAGTATCTTTAATGTGCAAAAGCTCAGGGAAAACAACCATTCACCAAGCAAACTGCAGATAGGATTCCTTTAACCTCCTGCCCTCTAGACACATCACTCTCTGTTAAACAGGCAGCCACCGCCAGATGCTCTGGCTAAAGATGGTCACAGATGGCCCGTTGTCCACTTAACAGAGCACACAGACGCACACACGCACACACGCGCACACACACGCATACTGCAGAGTAAGAAGAAAAGGGGCGAGAGCGGTGAACTTGCCTGCTCAGTGGACTGACGGCATTTGCTTGCTATATGCATTTGGCTAGGCCCAACAGCCGGCCTTCTAGAAAAAGAAGACTAGGCCCGAAGTGGTCTCGGGATTAACAAGTTCCTTCAGGGTGAGCTAGTTGAGAGGCACGCACAGCTTGGATCCACATGACTCCATCCCTGCTAGCCAGCCATGCGGCCGTGACATCTCCAAGAGTGTGACCATGCTAACAATAAAGAGCCCACGGCTGAGCGCGCTCTCTTTCAAACGGACTGCAAGTAGTTCAACTACTCCATCTCATTACTCAGTCAGGAAGCACGCTGCTGTTTAACAGGTAGGGCACCTTCCCTACAACACATCATTTCCTAGTGGATGCATTAAAAAGTGGTCTTCACCCGAGGTACCCCAAATAACTTACACAAAGGATTTTTACAGCATAAGAACAAAGGCATTTGTTTGCTAGAGGGCATAAAGTTTTATAGTTGTGAATGCTGACTACAAGGGAACTACGAAAAGTCTATGGAAAATTTTTATTGTCTTTTAATTGCATGTTTGCATGAACTTTTGAAACCCCCCCCCCTGTATTATTCAGATTATATTTAAAAGTTAATGAAGGTCAAGAGCTCTTTTTTTTATGCATATGTGTCTGCAGAATAATTTTTTTAATTGTTTTAATTGACAAGGATTTGATGATATCTAACCTTTTCACGAGCACGGAATTTTACTTTTATCTAACATAATTTTTATTTGTTTATATGAATGTACGTATTTAATTTCTATACAGTTAAAATGTCTATATATTTAAATTTTCTATGTATTTAAAGTCTATGTATTTAATTTCCTTAACAGTGAGGAAATGGTAAGTAGTGAATTTCATCTATTATTTTTTCATCAATAACTGTCCCACATGATATTTCTTATTTGATATGCCATAAAAAATTTCTGGAATAAATGATTAAAAACATGGAAAGGAAGGGGACATTGAGAAGCCACGGCTGTAGACACAAATGCTGCTGACTTTGCTGACAGCAGTTCAGTCATCTCATATTATTTGTTGAAAGAACGCCAACCTGGAACATACATAACGTCTGCTCATCGTGTACAACGGCATGCGGCAGAGCTCAATCTACCTGAATACAGATGAAGTCTGAAGACAGCAAGCTCATATGTGGGCATACAAGTGGAAAACTATGGCAGGGAACTAAAGCACTGGCAACCGCGTCCTCGTGTCTGGAAACACCCATTCCCGCCAGCCAGTCCCACGGCTGCTCTCCCATCCTGTGCTACTGCGAGGTCAGGCTGTCCGCGGAGCAGCCACAGGGACCACAGTGCCTCTGACCTGGCCTCACCTCCCAGGGGCAGCCCGAAGGGAAAGCCAAAGTGCTTCCTGAAATTCCAGTGTGTTGGACGTGCCAGGACAATTCAGTGGGCACTTGGCAATCATAAGATGAAAGTTATTCCTTGGATTCTGAAGGGCATAAAATTTTAGCCATAAGCAACAGACCAGTAAGTGTGCATTTTATACTTTGAAGAGCACCGATCTACTTCTATGTACATATTCATTTTAGATATCATTTGCTTTTTACAAGACACGATGGATTGCCATCTGATCCTTTGGTGATGTTCGTACTAGCAATACCCAGTCAGGGGAACATCAGGATCTCACTCTGCCAGAAGTCAATTCTGGCAAGAAAATAGATGTCCAGAGCTGAGGAAAGATGGAGTGTTACCATGGTTACCTGCTACTTTGCCAGTCTACTCAGCGACAGTGCGTGAGAGTCCGGTCACCAATTTAAGCAATATGACACAGACAGTGATCCAGCGAAGTGAATCCTTCCCTTTCTTACCATCAGGTCAGTTCCCGTACCTTGTGTCCAGTTACTTTCTGCCCAGCTGGTCGGGGAAGAGGGAAAACGGGAGGGCCAGTCAAGGCTGACTCACCTAAACCACTGAGCGTGTAGTGAAGGACGCCGGCCTCCAGGAAGATGGGTCCGTGCTCTTGTTGGCCCTCTTCCTTATGGTACAGCTTGTAGCCCTGGATGGCTGCGGTGTCCTCAGCATCTTGCTGCCACTTCACAGAGATGCTCGTACAATTCAGAGGCTCCAAATGCAACTCCGGAGACTTGGGGGCTAGAAAATTCACCAGGAAACAAAATTCACGTGGAAGCATTAGGATCAAGCTTTCCATCTAAAACTATACATGCATAGTTAAAAGTGAGACTCAATCCCAACAATCATACTTTAACATAACTTCTAAATCTTCATGATGACATTAGAGGCAGAGATAAAAATATCAAACATGACCTACAGAAAGCTAAAATCCATCCAGAAGCACAGAATAGCATCGATATCGGTACGTTTTTAATTTCCTTTTTCAAATAGACAATCCAACCAAACCACACTCCATCCAGTCAAAGCTGACTCATGGTTACCCCATGAGACCAGGGTAGAACTGCCCCCATGAGCTCCCAAGATTGAAACCCTTTATGGGAGTGGAAAGACCCATCGTTCTCCCAAGAAGTAGCTGGTAGTCTTGAAATGCTGACCAAAGCATAACCGCTGACCAAAGCATAGCAGGCCGAAGCATAACCACTATCCCAGCAGGGCCCCTAAAGAGGCAATAAAAACTCACAACCATCAAACCTATGCCAACTCACAACCCTACAGGACAGGGTAGAACTGCCCCTCTGAGTCTCCAACATAGAACGCTTCACGAGAGTAGAAAGCCCCACCTTTCGAGGAGCTGATGGTTTTGAACTGCTGACCTCTCAGATCACACAGCCTAGCTCAGAACCTCTATGCCACCAGAGCTCCTGAAAGAGGCAATACATGCTTCTAATTTCTTTTTTTTTAATCATTTCATTGGGGGCTCGTACAACTCTTATCACAATCCATCCATCCATCATGTCAAGCACATTTGTACGTTTGCTGCCATCATCATTCTCAAAACATTTTCTTTCTACTTGAGACCTTGGTATCAGCTCCTCACTTTTCCTCTCCCTCTCTCCCAAACCCTTGATAATTTATAAATTATTATTATTTTTCCATGTCTTACACTGTCTGATGTCTCCCCTCACCCACTTTTCTGTTGTCCGTCCCCCAGGAAGGGGGTTATATGTAGATCCTTTTGATCGTTTCCCCCTCTCTCCCCCACCTTCCCCTAGTGGAGCAGAGACCCAAAACCCATCTGTAGGCAACTGGACATCCCCTTCCAGAAGGGTCGCGGGTAGGAGACGAGCCAGTCAGGGTGCAGATCACCGATGAAACATACAACCTTCCTCTAGTTCTCTAATGCTTCCTCCCCCCACTATCACGATCCCAATTCTACTTTACGAATCCGGCTAGACTAGAGGATGCACACCAGTACAGATCAGAGCTGGAAACACAGGGAATCCAGGACAGATAAACCCCTCAGGGCCAATAATGACAGTTGCGATACCAGGAGGGGAAGGGGAAGGTAGGGGAGAAGGGGAGTACCTCTAATTTCAACCATCTGATTTCCCCTACGTAATAGATATGACAGACATTAATCAATACACCACATACAAAACACAAAACCCCCGAATGGTTGTGTTACATTCCACATTAGTTAGTAAGAAGGTTCTAATCAGGAACTTCTTACAATTAAAGGGATTAATTAAAATCCATAGTGATGATATTAATTAGGCCTTCACTAAAATATAACTTTTGGTAGCTCGGTTTGACTTGGACCCATCTATGCATGAGGAGTTGTTAGACAAACCAACTTATCTGGACACTAACGCACCCCATGCGAAAGGGAGTTAAAAGGCTAAATGTAAAAATGTTTCCATGAAGTCCATGATTGGTGGGACATTCTTATTCACAAAGCAGAACTGAGAATGTATAAACATAACTTTAGACAAAAAGTGGCTCAAAAATAAAAATATGGCATGCTCTTCCCCAGTAGTCCTTAAGAGGTTTACCTTTCACACTTGTAGCTTTGGGTGTCCTGTGGGAAGTCCACACAGAAGCTTCTCCCAGGCCCACTCTGGTGGCAGCAGCTATCCGGACTAGGTAGATGCTGTCGGGTTTCAGACCCTCCAAAAGGTACTCGTGCGTGGTCCCTGGCAGCTCCAGAACTTGGATAGTGTTCTCGGTACTTAGGCGGAAAGACAGCCGATACAGCACCACTTGACCCCGCCGATACTTGGCGGGGATTGGCAGCCAGGAGATGAGAATATCTGTGGGGCTTCGACTCGTCAAGCTAATTTCAGGAGGCCTCAGGGGAACTAGTCATACAAGAAAACAGGATTTATAATAAGTAAGTAGGGTCAAAGTTACCACGCAACACAGCAGCACTGTCTGTAATCTCTTACATACAATACATAACATGGTACAGAACAGAGATCCTTTTAGCCTGAGCAGAGGTTTGCACCCAACTAGAGAAGAATCTGGACCAGAAGCGAAAAATAACAAGGGTGATCCAAGAGCAGACATATCTAGACAAGACATGGGTTCAACAAGAGACCATGGCAATGAAGCGAGTCTCCCAGTGCCTATACTACTGCAGTCCTTAAGGAGCCCTGATGAGGCTATGGGTCAGATGTTGGGTTGCTAAATACAAGGTTGGTGGTTCACAACCACTAGCTGCTCCGTGGGAGAAAAACGAGGCTGTCTGCTCCCCAAAACAGTTCGTTTCGGAAACCCTCTGTAAGTTGCTATGTGTCACCATCAACTTGAGGGCAGTGGATTTTGTTTTGGTTTGTGGGTGGCATTCGAGTGCGTGTGCAACAGCATTACAACAAAGTCTGAAAGAGTATAAAAACCATCAAAATGTGACACAGATATTAAATGAGCTGTTGGTAAAAAGGCACTGGTAGATTGCTCAACACACAGTTGCCACAAGTCTTTCATGGGTGAAAAATGCACTATTTGCACAGTGTTAGCACTGTGAGGTGCAATAAAGTGAGGTCTGGCTGTGGGGGAGAAGCAAAAAAGCAAGGTTTTCATCGTTCTTTGGCTTTGCTAGGAATGTATATGGAAATATTTAACAGTCATATGAAACATGAGAATATTTCAGAAATGACCCTATCAAAGTACCTTTGAAGCGGAAGTGAATTATTTAA